GTTATTTCTCGGTTCTCACTGCTTAGTCTTCGGTTGGTTCCATGCCTTCCCTTTTCTTTTGTGTCCTCTTCCTTCATAATCCAGCATTAATTTTTTAGCTCTCTTTATGTGTTAAAAAGATGAGAGTTGAGAATGACTATTTTTTCTATGGCTCATTCATTATTTAAGTCAAATTCTAAAAATTAATTAAAATATTTTTTTGGAAAAATTAAAACAATTTCATAATACTTATATCCTTCGTTTTTGTTTTTTAATTTTAAGTTATAAAATAAGAGGTTTTTTTTTTCTTATCTCTTAATTACCTTAGTCACATGTTATAGTATATAAACTTAAATTATATTAGTTTTACTAGATAAAATTATTGCTAAACTATTTAAATTATTGTATGTGTAATTGTGTATCTTTCACTCTTAAAAATAACTATGTATTTTTATCCCCATAAAAAATGGTATGACTAATTGAAATAGTTCTTTTAGTCTACAACTGAAGCATTTTTAGGCTGTGTTTGAGATTTTTTTTATCATAATTTAATTAATTTAATTAATATTTTGTATGTTTGAATATTCATATAAAGATATTAACATTTATCAACTAAATTTATAAGAAAATTAAGTATAAAAATAATCGAAATTACATAATTTTAATAAACTAATATAAAAAGAACTAAAACAATCCTATTCTTATTTTAAAAATTATGATATTTTACTTTTTAAACTTTTTTTTACTTGATTTTTTTATAGATATGACGACTAGTAAACATTTTCCCCTCATACAAATGTGTAGTAATACTTTACAAAAATAATTATAAGAAAGAAAACACCTAATTTTTGTAATTTCACAACATGAGAAAAGCCATAACTATTCTATAACCCTACACTGCAATCCCAGTTGCTGCCTAAATCCATTACAACTCAAAAATTAAAACATTGATTATACAAGGATGAAAATGACAACTTTGTCATAGATTAGGTTACAAGTTACAACAGACAACATAAGCCTAAGAAAAAAAAAATCTTAAGTATTCTTTTGGGGAAAAAAAAAAATATGAACTACTTAGGGAAAGTAAAATTCTCAACCCCATCATCCATATAATATAAGGACCTTTGGTGCAACGCTTTCCGATCACAACCTTTCTGAATATGCCCCAAAGTCTCTTCGAATGGTGGCTGGAATCAGATATCAGGTCGCAATTTGTAATATTATCTATTAGTTTTCTGTCTTCTTCAAACAGAAAGTAAAATTCTTTTATCAAGATAAGCAATCAAGATTGCCGAATGAGAAACTTGTGTCCAATAGGACTGTGAAATCAAAGTCTCCGATTGGTGAATTGGGCACCGAAGCCAGTGGTCCGGAAATTATCTCTGCAAGATCAGATTCCGACGACTGTCTTCTCCCGAAGCTACCCAAGTCGCACGGCGACACTGAGAAGTAATTGGATTCGGAAGTGGCCGGAGATATAAAAGCAGGGGAAAAGCTACCCATTAGGTTATTATCCACCATGGATTCGGGGAAAATATCGTTTCCGACTTCCTCCAACACAGCTGAGGCGTAAGGGAAAGCAAACGATGGGAATATTTCCTCCTTGGAGTCCAACGACTCCGCCTTAACTTGAAGCTCTGTTTCAAAGTTCAACACCACCCCCTCTGGTAGCTCTGGTTTCTCTTTGGGATATTCTTCCACAGCCGGTGCTGTTGCCACTGCGGCCGCGGCCGTCGCCGCCAAACGGGATGACCGCATACATGTATGCCTTCCTCGATAGGTAACCTCAAAGAGGGTAGGATCTTCATCCGATCTCTGAACTTGTTTAGTGGCCACACATCCCTGAGAGTGACGGTGAGTGCACCTATAATATCCCCTGCAATTTTCATATGTGCCGTAAATTATAAGGCATATTTTCCTCAACTTGATTTCTAATTTCTTTAATTAAAAAATAAAAAAGGAGAGGAGAACATCTAAAGTTCTAACCTTGGATGATTGGTACCAAGAATTACTTTCTGCCCATATTTTCTCCAGCTATATCCATCATCAAGAGGAACGTCCGGGGATGATCCAGAGCAAACCCGAACACGTTTGGTCCACGTCGACATTATCTTTCTGCAGGATCCAAAACAAACCCAAATTCAGACCCAGATCACATTCTCCCATCAAAAAGAATTCAATCAAATTAATGGGTTAATTACCTCTTTTTGGAGATATCTTTTAGGTCGGAGGAGTCGAGGGTGCTATTGGCGGCGGAGGGCTGCGCTTCTAGCATGCCGGAAAGTGCCCCAGAATTCAGCATGGAGAGTGCTTTCTCATAGGAACAGAGTATTTTCTCGACTAAGAAGAGCCGCGTTTCAGTGGAAGCAGGAGGATTGAGATGGATCTGGAGTTCCTTAGCCAGATCTTTCCCTTGTGTTAGCTCATTCAAGAGGCTCCCCTGTTCCCAATCCATACCCACCATTTCCATCCAGGATATGCACCAAGACTCCCGCACGTCCGCACCACAACTGTTCAGACGAAAGTAGGAAAGTGAAGCAAAGGTGGATGCAGTTGGGAGGGGAGAGGTGGAGAGGTAGATATATATAAAGACGAGAAGGGTAAAGTTTAGTGTGAGAAGGAAATGATAAAGACATACACTAGTTTCCGGCTTGAAAAAGACAAGGGAACCAGGGGAGGATGTTGGAGAGAAATGACATGGAAGAATGGAGGACTTTTTTGACTGGAGAAATAAAGTCGGGATATGGTCGGAGAGGTAAGGTAATCATACGGAGGGGGGGGTGGGGGGATTAC